TAAGTGCTGGTAAAGGGGGGGGGTGGGGCGTGTGAGGGCTGTTTGCTTTATTTGGTTTTAAGTTTGTTAAGTGTAAACTGACCTACAATTTAATGTTTGATCTTTATTTCTCTTTGTTGCAGTTGCTTTTACATTTCAGTGAATATAACTGTCTGTTAAGTCGTTCTGTCAAAATGTCAGGAAGCTTTTTTTGACATTTACTTTGAGCCTTTCTGTGCTCTGCAATGACATAGTAATTTTCTTCCTGAGTTTGCTAAAAGACAGTCTAGGAGACAACTGCAGTATATCATTGCATGTTTGATTTTGACTGTCATCCCTGACAGTATCAGTCAAGTTTGGTACTAAATGTCCTGTTGAAAGTGATTCTGCTGTTGTCCTTGCTATCTTACTTACCAGCCCTCCCCTCAAATGTTACAAATTTTTAGAACCAAATCCACCTGGCAAAAATTGTTATATTGTGCCAATGCATTTATTTTTACTGACAGCATTGGATTTATGCCATTTTATACATGAGAACTGCCTGTTAGAGTCACCTGAGTCTGTATTATCTTTGACAAAAATAGCAATGTTTATGGGGTATTTTAGAGATGTAAACCACTGTACGAGATTTATTAGTTTAACCTCTATACAGCTGTAAAGTAAACTTGCAAAGTAATGACTTCGTGTCACAGTAGAACATGAGAGGAAATGGGAAAAGAAATGTTGAGAATGCGGCTGAGTTTATGTATGTTCTCCCTATTGCAGTTAAAGCTTTTGAAATGGAGATTATACCTGCTAACAGAATTGCTGCACAGATCGGAGAAACACTCATACTCACATGCAATACTACTGGCTGTGCATCACCAAGTTTTTCCTGGAGAACCCAGATGGACAACCCCCTTGGAGGAACAGTGAACAACCATAGGACATACTCTACCTTGACTATGGATCCAGTTAGCATTGTGAATTCTCATGATTATCTGTGTACTGTCTTCTGTGGTGAGAAAGAGAAAAAAGAGAAGAGTATCAAAGTTGAACTTTACTGTAAGTAAAATGTAAAATTGTCTTTAAGTAGTACACATTTCTGAAAAATCAATAATTATTTTTAGATATCATGGTTGGTAGTTAACTGATAATGCTAGGATAATGAGTCTGCTACAGCTCAACATATATTTCTTTGTAAGATTCCTTTGTCTATCTGTTCGGGACTCTTTCTCAGCCCCTTTCTGCTTAGCTTTCTGCACTGAAGGTAGTACATACTGGTCTTACTTGTTCTTATTCTTGGTATTACCTGAAAGCCAAAACACAGACTCCTGAAAACATTCATAGAGCTGGAAAAAAAAAACCACAAAGCATTTGCAGTTTGCAGGGGAATGATTCCGATGTCTAAACCTGCCAGCACGGAAAACAAGACACTGCCAGTGTATGCATTGCTCTGGATGCGTATACTAAGGTAGCTGTATCACTGCCTAGGTGCCTTGCTGGATCTTATTAGATCATTTGTGATCATATTTCAACAATTGTACAAATGTAATTCCTGTTAGTGTATGAACTGCTTATAAAAGACCTGTATGTCTTCATATCAAGATATCTTCTGTAGTAAAGTGGATATAACGTTATGTTCTGAACGCCTCTAAACTCAAGATGTTTGATGTCTGGATCTTGCTCTTATGTTGGCCCTAGAGCTCATCTCTGCTAGACTAAAAGAACTGATTTCATTCTTTTAGCTTTCCCCAGTGATCCTATCATTGAGATCAGCCCATCCTTAGTTGCTGGAGAACCAGTCACTGTCACCTGTAAAATTCCTGATGTGTATCCTTCCGATCACCTGGAAGTACTCCTAAAGAAAGAGGAACATGTTCTTCATGAGAAAAATTTTTATGAAGATGCCAGCACAAATACAGAAACCAAAACTGTGACGTATTTATTTAATCCCATTGCTGAAGATCTTGGGAAAGAGATTACCTGTGTGGCCAAGTTATCAATTGCTAATATGGACTTTGAACCCAAAGAAAGAGTAAATTCTCAGAAACTGAATGCAACCCGTAAGTATTTTTATTCTAAGGCTTTCACACTAAGTACTGTTTAATGTTCAGTTTCATGCAATAGGTTTACAAATTGTGTGCTGTAAATCATTTATAATCTGCACTTCTTATCTATATTATTTTTGTAGATAATCTATTGTATTCAGTTGAATTCTGTTGTATTCATTAACAGTCACTGAGTCATTAAATACCCACTGTTGTTCATGACAGAAGTTAGGCAATGCTTTACTAACTCCTCTCTCTTACTTTGGGCACTGGTGCTCAGTCAGAAAGTAAAGACCAGAAGAAAAATGGCAGCATGCAGATAAACAATTGTTTCTAAATTGCCATTGTATGCTTAGAAGTTCCAAGTTTATAGTCCTAAACAATAGAGGGGCAACTGTAAGAGTTAAAAAAAAAAAAAGTACACATTTTGCTTAGCTTAGCTTTCAAAGCTGCAAGCTAAATGTCTTATCAAGTCTGGAAAAATTGTTCCACTGTGTTACTGGAATACACATTATTATTTTTTCTTGGTATTGTGTGACATGTACCTCTAGAGAAGCTGGTGTTAAAAATGTGCATGTCATTCTTCGTTAACTTACTGACCTTATTTCTCTTTTATTCTCTTCCAGTTGGTCCACAAAATACTATCATTACTGCATCTCCAGGCAACTCGCCAATGGAAGGAGACCCGCTAAAACTCACTTGTGTGACTGAGAGTAATCCACCACCACAAATAGTTTGGAGAAAACATCTGGCTGATGAAAGCATTGAGCATCTGATAGAAAACAATGTCCTTTCTATTCCCCATGCCCGTTTCACTGATTCAGGACTGTACATCTGTGAAGTAACGAATCTGGTAACTAATAAAACAGAGAAAGCAACTGTGGACATTGTAATACAAGGTACAAGTCTGCTTGAATTTAACTTCTATTATCCAGTATCCAATTGGCAGCTGCCTGTTGGTTGGAGGATGCTGAAACACTGAAAATTAGGAAATTATGGGGCCTTCTTTGTTATGTATTCAGATTTAGCTTTCAATTTACTGCTGCTCTTCATGGGCTGTGCTTTTCATTTCTATCTTAATTTTTAGCTAATTCTCTCTGTACTGCTGTTGTACGTTCATACCTCTATACATTTTCTGCAATGCGACACTCAAAGTGATAAAAGAATCTGAGAAAGTGGTGGTGTGGGAGACACTGTTATTTCCTAGAAATGCTAACGTACATAGCAATTTCACAGGGACATCACAGTCTCCTTCTTTGAACTAGTAGTTTTCGTCATGAGTAGTAAATTTTGTAGTCATTTAATAGTAAAACTGGTTGGGACATCATCATTATTATTATTATTATTGTTATTGTTATTATTACTGCTACTGTTTCAATAGAGCCAAAAGTCTCAGATGAAGCCTGAGACCAAAACCAAAATGAACAGATCCTTGGCTGAGCAATTCCTGCTTTCTTAAAATCCTCTCTGTCTTTAGTACTTTTGCATGAGTATAACAGTGTTTTCTTTCGTCATGCAGGTGCTCCAAACATTGCAGAATTCTCCATTGAGCCTTCTACAATAGTTCAAGAAGGAGAAAATGTTTCCATACAATGTTTTGCTGAGAGTAACCCTCCTCCCAAGATTATTTTAAGGAGGAAATCTGACAGTGTAGACATGGGGCCTTACAGTGAGGGGAGAACTCTCCTTCTTCCATCTGTGACGTTCCTAAATGGAGGAGACTATGAATGCGTAGCAGAAAATAAGTTTGGGAAAAGTAAAAGTGAAATAACACTGAATGTGGAATGTAAGTATGTGTACTGTTTCCTCAATCATTTAAAAATAATTAGTTAATTCTCTGCTTACTTCAGTGATAAATGTAACCATCAAACTGAACAAAACCCTGTGAGTACAAAAAAATCAGCATAGTCCTCTGCTCTTCCCCAAAGAAAGGAGCAGTGCTGATGTGCAAAACAAAGACATGAATCTTTAATGTAATGACAGTCTTAAGTGAGAAACTGATCTACCTTCTTGACATTCTTGGTTAGGAGTACTTAGTTAGTATGTTTAGGCTACAGAGAGTTTGTATGGAAGCTCTGATACTGTGTGCTTTACTTTTTCTGAGAATGAAAAAGAAATTAACTTTGGGAGGCCAACAACCTGGCATCCAGTAGGACACGTTGGATCCATCTCTTAAAAATCCAACGATGTTTAACTACAGGATTCTTCCTTTCAGATGGACCAAAGAACACAATGATCTCTGTTATCCCTGCTACTGCTGTTAAAGAAGGAGAAACTGTGATGATGAAATGTATTAGTTCTGGTAATCCAGATCCAGTGATCTCTTGGAAGAAAAAGAAGGCCACTGGGGAGACTGAGAAAATTTTCAAAGATGCAACTTTAACTATACAGAACATAAAAAGTCAAGATATGGGGCTTTATGAATGTGAAGCTTATAACCAGTTTGGCAAAGAAGAAAAAGCTGTGAAATTAATTGTTCAAGGTTAGTAGAACAAGACAGAACACAAGTTTTTTGTTTTATGTATTTTAGGTCCAGATCTCATTCTGTGAAGGACAGGGGAATTCTGTCTTTGATGTCAGTGGAGTTAAAAGGTGGCCCTAATGTCATTAAGTCAATTAGGCAGCTTTAAAAAATGAAGGGTGAAATCTGCCTTCCTACAGATAGCTTATGCAAAGATCTCAGGTCAGTTGAGCTTCCATCACTCCTTCCAATTGGCAAGTGTATGCATGAGGCAAAGAAGCTGTACAGTGCCTGTATTTTCTTCCAAATAAGTCTCAGTGAAGTACCCAGCTACCTGCATACAAAAGATTCAAAGAGAAAGTACATGCTAAAACTTCTCTGTGAAGGGACTCTGTTACAGCCCCTTGGCTCTCCTTTAAGTTATGGCCCTCTGTCCTGTTCTCGCATGCTGCATTTAAGCTATACCAAATGCTGATTCCTCAACCTACATGCAATGACAGCAAAGTTTAATTTTCAGTAGTAAGCAGGCTTCACTGCTGCGTCTGTTTATTGCATGGCAACAGTGTATTGCTTAGGGATCACTTCTGCCACTAACCCATCTCTCTTCCTTATTCTTTACTATTTTTGTAGCTGCACCAACAAATAGACTTTCAGTTTTCCCTTCAAGTGCAGTGGTACAGGAGAAAGTGTTACCATCTCGGGCACATCTGTGGATGTTACATATGTTCAGAGAACTCTGTGGAAGAAGATAGGTGATGAGATCAGAACTTTTGAAACAGTAGATGGCAAATCTACCATAGACAGGACTCAGCTAAAAGATGCAGGAATACATGAATGCATATCATTAATGAACTGGGAGAGCAGTCTCATCACATAGTACCTTATGTCAAAGGTTAGTTAAAATAACTACTGTACAAAGTTAATATTAGGATTTGGTTTAGACAGACAGAATGACATCTTTACTTCAATTCCGTTAAGAATGAATTGTCTTTAAAAAAACTGAGATGAGTTGCACGGGTTCTTGTCATAAGTGGTAGGATCTTAGTGCTAATGAAAACTATTTTCCAAAACGGCAGATGCATAAAATAATGGCCGCTTCAAAATTTTTTATTGTTTCACTTCCACCTTTGAAAAGAGGATGCAGAATTACGGAACCTAGTGAAAAAAATATTATTCTAGGACTGCTTCCTTTGCCTTTTCTATTTCTCTTCTGTTGAAAGAGGACATCAGCCTCTGGCTCTGTTGGTTTGTGTCCTTTCAGGAGCTCAAATGAATAAACAGTGAATTTAAAATAAGAAAATAAGAAAAGGCTCCATGTAATGTAAAAGATATGCAACATACTCCATTGAAAAAATGTTCTCTCAGTCAGCTGCTGTTGACTGCAGTGTGTGAAGGAGAGCTAGTGACAGAGTAGTGTCTAAAGCTATGTGCTTGAATATTATAGTGAATCCATTAACTGGATTAGTACTTTGTGTGTACAACCTGCTGATAACCTCAGGATTTTTTTGCTTCTGTTTGTTGCTAAATCCTACCTTGCATTTCTTTTCTTTTCAGTTCCTCCCCAAAATATTACTGTGTTAGTATATACATCAGAAAATGGTAAAGAAGGAGAAAATGTCACTATTACACATAGCACATACAGTAACCCACCATCACAGATGGTCCTGAAAAAAGTCCATCAGGAGAAAGAAATTATTCTGCCATCAATGAATGGAACCTTTATACTCTACAATGTCACCAAAAATAATACAGGCAGATATTTGCCTGATGTTTTCAATGAGACTGGAAACAACATCAAAGTGATTGAGATAGCTGTTGTAGGTAGGTAGATGTATTACCTTAAACTTATTTTGTTCGTACTTTCTAATGAATTTTGTGGCAAAGTGAGCACAACTAGTTCATGGCTGATCTTTGTAGTTAACCTAAAACTCCCCAAAATCAAACCAGATAAGAAAACAGCTGGTGAGAATAAGCTGTATTTAACCTCATTTCAGTGTGGATGTTATTGTCTCCCTTACCTGAGTTGGTGCAGTAGCTTTAAATATAGGGCCAGCAAAAGGTGGATCCTGGCCGCATTTCTGTCCACATCCATGAACAGTGACACTAATCCACAGAAAGTTCTGTTTCACAGAAAGAGTGAAAGATTGGGCTTTTTAAACATGGTCTTCTCCTGAAGGATTGCTTCCAGGAGGTAGAAATGTCCCCAGATGTTTCCTGGGTAAAATACGTGATATTATTCTTGTATTCTTCACAAACTCCATGGTATTCTTCATTGTGGATGATATCAGATGGGTTTGAATTTGCATAGCAAATTCAAGACCAAAATAGTGGCTAGGAATTAAGGTATGTAATAGCGAGTTACTGAAGAAAAAAGCATAAGGAAAACATTTTGAAATATGCTTTGTGCATGAAAACAGAAATAGCGTTCCAAATGAAGGTCATTAATAACACTGCTTTTACAGTAATATACATGTATCTCTGTTTCAATCAGGTTTTATACAACTTTTTTCTCCTTTTGTCTCCATTTTCAGGAAGATTGGAAAAAACAGATCAAATGATACCACTGATTATTGCGTTCTCCTGTGTAACAGCAATAGCAGTACCTGTAGTTGCAATTTTGATTTACGTGTCAAGAAAAGCAAAGATAAATGGATCCTACAGTCTTGTAAAAGCACTCAGGCTGAAAGTGTGATAGCATGGTTATAAGTCTCAGTTCATAATAAGCAATGTTATTTATTGTTGTGACTGGTTCTACTCTACTATAACATATGGTAACAAGTGGCTTTAGAACACCACCATATGATAGCAAATGGATTTTTTTTTCATGTTTTGATAAGTATTTCAGTATTTAAATTAAAGGGAAAGCTAGCATCCTATCCTAGAAATTGGTAAATCACTTCTGTGTTGAAGCATGCTGAACAAAGAGTTCCTTGCAGAACTAGGATTGTACATAGTGTATAATTTATGTTATAAATATGTTCAACTGAATATCAGTTTGTAAAACTGCAGTCTTACTGCAACTGTACAGAGAAATGTTGTTCAAAGATATAAATCAGCATTACTTGAGCTGATCAGATGAATGTTTTTAATATAATTTGTGTGCTTGTGGTAATGTTTGGAAAATGTTCTCTTTTCACTCATATTGCCATAAACTCTGTACCTTCAGTGAAGTTACACAATCACTGGGCTATGCATTTCTAAATTTAAATTAAAGACCTCAAGGCTCATTTGTGAAACATCTTATTTTAACTATTATTCAGAAGGTGTCTGGGATTATAGTTAGTTTTAGGACAGCTGAGGTATTTTGTAGGGTTTAATCATTCTCAAATCAATGTCAGAATTCCGTTATTTCGTGATGAGCCAAATCAGACCCTTCATTTAGAATATAAGCTGCTGATAAATATGCCTCACAGATTTCCACTGCAAAATAAAACTACCAGTAGGTTTTTTTCACTAGATCCTTTAGTGATTCTTGCTTAAGATTATATCAGAATACATGTTCCTATGGAAGGAACCAGTGAAAATTTATCCTTAGCAACTGCACTTACAAGTGTCATGGGAAGCCCTAGCTGTAAAGGCACAAGCAAGGCAGGCAGTGACCAAAAGGTGTAGGCAAGGTGGAGAGGCAAAATCTACGCAGCCTCAGCAATCGTGGTTGAGTTGTTCCCTGAAGAAATGCCCTTCCCAAGCTGCTCACTGTGGAAAATTAAACCACTTGCCTGACAACTTTCCTTTTAATAGATAACTCGTGCCTGCATGCTTCACCCTGGTTATTGCCTTTTTTCACTGCATGCTCTCTCCATTGTTGGCAAAATGGCTGTGAAAATACTGGGCTTTCTGTACAGAGGCAAAGATGAGGGGGAAGGAGAGGTAGAGTTTGGTGGTATTACATCTTACATCCCTTCTCCTGGCTAGCAGTGCTGCTTTGACTCATCTGGGTGCTGATGTGCAGCACTGAAGGCAAGGTTGTAGGAGATGCAGGCCCTATGGCTGAGATGTTGGAGTGCATCTAGTCTCAGCAGCCCTGAGCAGCTGTGTTAGGCACAGGAAGGTGGGCTTGGCTCCCAAAAACTTGCACACACAAGGTCAAGCACAAGGTCAAGCAGAGATATGTGGAAAGAGTTTCTTTACATTATACAAATGGTAACAACTGCCTCTAACAGCAATAGAAGTGCAGATGTCTCTTGGTTGCTAGCTGCAGGATGAGCCAGCGGTGCAGATCTCCCTTATATTTTTCACAGCATGTTCAGAAGTGTTTTGAGCACAGTAAAACAGTGCATGCAGGGTCCTGCGCTTATCCACAGTGGGAAAAGGAGGCTTGGAAAGAGGCACTGTAGCAGAAAAATGGGAGAGCAGTGTGGACTTGGCTTGGAGGAATGTGAGCATGCAGTAGGAGGGTGAAGAAAAGATTGAAGACAGAGGGGGAGGAGAGCTTTGACAGGCCCTTTGCACAAATTTCTTGGAGGTGGTGCCAGGCAGATTTATCCAGAATAATGTCAGGCCTGTCTCAGTGCTATCTTGTGAACAAACCAGAAAGCATGATTTTTCCACTGTGCAAAAATTTGGTGCACACACATTTTGCCTACTGAGTATAGTTCTGGTATCTGTGTTGCAAGAAGAATAGTTAGAAAAGATACAGAGAAAGAGGACTGGAAAACAGGAAAGATTAAAATGCCTGGGACTTTCCAGTTTGGAGAGAGAATTCTGAAGGAGGAGGGGATGTGACTGACGTTTTCCAAATTGTGAAGGCAGTTGATAGCAAACAACAGATGCAGAGCTGCTGTTTGCTAAATCATGCAATGCCAGAACTGCAGGGCATGCAAACTAAGGAGAAAGCGGCTTAACAAAAATAATAGAAAGTACTGCTTTGCACAGTGAATGGTGAACTACTGGAAGCTGCAGCAAAAGGTTGTGGAGGGTAACAGTATCAATTGGCTCAGAAGGGGAAGGGAAAAAATAATGGACTCAAGGACCATAAACAAATACTAAAGGGAATAGGCAGAAATGTACTGTATAACATCCCTAATCCAATGGCCATTGATGCTCAGCAGTCCTCAGGGAACATGCTGCAGAAAGTGGCCAGGTTTGCATGCTCTCCTGAAGCAGTGTCTTCATGCTGGAGACATACTGGGGTAGCTGGGTCACTGGCAAGACCCAGTAAGGTATATCTTGCCTTCTTATGCCATCTCTGAGCAGCCTTGGGCCAGGCCTACTTGGAGAAGGGGCTTAGCAGTTCCTGTACTGTTTTTTTCCTTGCCTGTAGTCCCTTAGAAGAAATAAAAAGAGGAAAAATGAGTGGGAGAGAAATAGGAGTCATCTTGCAACAGCACTTTGGTGCTTGTGTAGTCTCTCCTGGAAATTCCTCCATGGGTTTCCAGCTGTTAGTTTCATCAGATTTTGTGATACCGATACAGACCTTAATGTCTACATGGCTTGTCTGCTCTCACAGGATCTCAGTATTAAGTCATTAAAGTCCATAGGAGTTGGCCTGTGATTTCAACAGGGCCAGTTTTTCATCCAGAAACACTAAGTGAATAGATAGAGCTTGTAGTGCTCATTTTAGGAGAGGCCGCTCTTGTGTGGGCAGCAGGCATCCTCTCAGTGAAATCACAAAGATCCCCACCTTGCCAGGGTATCTCCTCCCCTGCTGCCCGATTCTCGGTATTTTCCAGGACACTTAATGATTTGAGTAGAAGCTTGTCCTATGGAGGTTAAAAGTTCACAGTCAAATAACTTCTCTTTTTATTGAAAATTACAGAAGGAATATTGTTTGTCCTTGCACTATTTCTCATCAAGCAAAATGCAGAACCCCTGCCCTGGCAAAAAGTCATGAACAGCAGCTCCAGCCCAGCAAGTGCTTTCAGAAGGGGTCAGAGCCACCTGGAGGTCTAGGTAAGAGTCCTTGCCATGGGGCCTGTCTTTATGACCAAGAAAGTGGTCTGTAGAGCAAAGGGCTGTGACAGGTCCACTCAGGTTTTCTCTACAAAGCCACCTCACAGGTTATAGAGTTGCATTTTCCTCTCCCTTGGCCTGTGCTCAAGCACACCAATAGTGCTTGTGTCCTCAGAGTAGCTTCATCAACGTGCTGCTGTGCTGGATCAAATAACTTCTCTAAGCAGAATGTGTCCCCCTGTAAGGAATCCTATTTTCACTGGAAATTCCTCACAAATGGAGAATATACCATTGTCCTTGGTAATCAGCTGTGCCCTTTCAGTTATATATACATGGCCTACTTCCTGGTCCAATTTGTCTGGCCTTTTACACCTTTTTCCCCACAAGAAAATTGCATCCTGTAATCAAGCACCCCTTATTTCTTTGATAAACTAAACAAACTGAGCTGTTGTAAGTCTACCTTTCTCTATAAGGCACTTTCTACCGTGGTAAATAATCTTTGTGGTCTTTTCTAAATCCCCTCCAGCACTTCAACATACCTTTTAACATGTGGCAAAAGATCTGTATATGATCCTCCAGTACTGTTTCTGTCAGTGCTAGAGGTGATTTTGCTTCTCTGATCCTCCTCTGTGCATTTTTTTAGTACATCTTAGTACATTTTTGAGACAGAAAGCTACATGATACAAAGTCAAACGCCTCATGAGTCCAAATACCTTAAATCTAATTTGTCTGATAATGCCTACGTTCCATAAACCCATGCTGACTGGCACTAATTATGTCTTCTGTCCTTTAATCCCTGTATCAGCTTTTCCCAGTATTCAAAACTTTGTCATACCAACCAGTCTGAAATTTAGCCAGACCATTCAGCTTACCAATCAAAAACTGACAGGGTTTTTGACACTACTCTATACTCAGTTTGAAGGCCACTTCACATTTGAAAAAAATGTGAGAAGCAGTCATATCAGGGAAACTACCTCTCTTGTTCTGTTGTCTGTTGTGTGGCTCAAGAGCCTTTAAGCCTCACAGTCTTTGGGGGTCCACGTGTTTATATATCCTGCCACCAAAGTGATGCAAGTTATGCTAACAGAAATACGGAAATGCTTGTAAAAACAGCAATGTGCTTTGCTGTTAACTACCAGGCATCTTAGTAGTTAAAATGTATTGTTCCAAGTACCTGGGTAGCCACCAGGTACCAAAGCAGCAATCTCCTGTCTGTCCCTCTGGCCTTCCCACTTAAGGAGTCCTTCTGATGCTGTTGAAGTACACCGAATGGCCAAATGTCTGTCTATGAGATACAGGGGTGTGAAGTTCCCCTTGCTTACTGTGTTCTTGCTTCCTCTCAGTGATTCTGCTATGTTTAAGGTTTGTCGTGAGTGAAACAAGGGGAACAGTTTTTTGACAGGTTGAAAATTTACCCTTACAAGGGAACCTTTTGCTTTTTGCAATGCAAATGAATTTAGACATTTAAATGCTAAGATTTGTGCCAGAACTAACTGAAGATTTCTTTTTTAAAAAAGCAAATACATATTTTATAAACAGATGTGACGGGGGTCTGGGACTCTGTGCTTACATGACACGAAGTAGGACAACAATGACTTTTTTTTTCTCTTTGTGATAATGAAAACTATATCTGTATGTGTTAATTGAACCAAAAAGGAGCATATGAGGAAACCAGAATCACTTTACTGCTCTTTGCTGTGCTTAATTGTAAAAACCAGAATGTTATGATCTAATGCTGTTATTTTTTTTGTTAAATATTTTACCTTTCCTTTGAATGAGAGGCAGACATGGGACATCTGCTCTCAGCAGTTGAAAGAAATGGTGCCACAGATGTTGAATGAATTCATGTTCCCAACACAGATGTCATGTCTTGAACTCTCCCACCTGTTTCAGATTGTTATATTTTATGTTGTTTGTTCATATTTATTAAGGGCTCAGAGACTTACCGTGATAGAGACTATCAGTTTTAACAGTGATGTAACT